TCACTATCTCTCATGCTAGTAGATGGTCCTACTGGGACATCAATTCGGATAGACACATTCTCTACTGGGATATGTGACTTAGTTATCCTTTTCAAATCAGTAAATGTGTCTGACATTTGATTTGCTATATTCTGTAAATGGATGATCTTCTGGACCTCCTGATTACATATAGGGGTACAGGGATCAAAGTGAGATAATGATGAAATTTTCCACACAATTTCTCTTTTGATTTCCTTTTTCTCTCCCCCTAATTGTGGAAAATTTGTTTCATCAAANCTGGATCTTTAATAGTGAGATATTCCATTTTCAGGCCCTCATCAAGGTGATGGCGTAGGAATATCATTGCTTTGGCACGGTCTTGGTTTGATGCCTGATTTTTATCCTTGATGGTGTCTGCCAGACCCATCGCATCAAGATGAATTTCAGCATCAAGCACCCAGGACATGTAACTTTTGCCCGATATATCCAGGGCTACAAATTCAAGTTTAGAAAGATTTGACATTATTTAGGAAAAGAAAGTTCTTACCTCTAATACTTTCAAAGTATTTGCTCGAGATGTCAGAGTCTCGTGCTGATAACGTGTTATTAAATAGAGACTGTAAAGTAAAGACAAGTATAGAGAGAAACTGATATATTATTCGAATTCAAACTGATGTACATAATGAACTGAAATCTCTTCTATTTCTAGAAGAAAGGAAGCTGCTGTGTAAGCTGCTACTACAAGCTGCTACGCAAGCTGTTGTGTAAGCTGCTACTACAAGCTGCTACGCAAGCTGTTGTGTAAGCTGCTACGCAAGCTGTTGTGTAAGCTGCTATTACAAGCTATTGTGTAAGCTGCTACGCAAGCTGCTGTGTAAGCTGTTACTGTACCAGATATGGATAATCTTCTACTGAGAGCAATGTTTATCCATAACGGAGTACTGAATGGATAAGCTTATTATACCCGGTATGGATAATCTTCTACCTAGGGTAATGTTTATCCATAACTGGGTACCGAAGTGATAAGCTTCTTCAGGAAGCTTATTTCCAATAGAGTACTAAATAGATAAACATATTTACGGTGGAATCCCATATGGATAAGCTTCTTCAGAAAGATTATTTATAACGGAGTACTAAATGAACATCCATAACATAATATATTTATAACACAATCATATTACAGAAAAAGGAATCATATTCTCGAATAAAAGTTGACAGGACACTAAATAACACAGAAATGTAATTTCTAATAGAAGCTGACTCTTGTTTACACCAGAAGCAGGTCGTGCGAAGCAATCATGTAGTGTAGTAAAAGTAAAAGGCCACTCGTCAACCTTGAGAGAACCGCCTATCCCAAATATTTGAGGACAAAAAGTTGTCTTTTTTTATTCTTGATTCTTTAATTCGTTAAATGGATATATGGCCTGACATCAAAATTCAGCCATCCATTGTCTCACCAATATTCTTCTAAAAAAAAGCAAGAAAAATTGTAAGTATTAAGCCAAAGAGGAGAATTTTCCTAAATTCGTAAAGCAACAGAAATGACCTGTTTTCATCTTTCATTTACCAAAAACATGCACCCCACGTTCTCTCAACCATTCACAAAAACAAGAGAACAAACATCAAAAGACTTCTTCATTCTCTATCAAGAAAACTTCTGTCTCCTTTTCTCTTCTCCTATCTGCGCTAGCTGAAACCCTTTCCTTTTTCTGACGCCAAAAGTTTCCATTTTGTTCATCTATCTCCATATCATATTATATTTCTGTTTTATGGTCTCAAACTTCGTCGCATAATTAAGGCAACATTCTTTTGGCTTGAATCAGAAAAGATGGTTCGAGCACTAGAAGAAGAGAAAGAGATTCCATCTGCTGAATCTCAAAAGGTTAATGGGTTGAAGCTTCTCCGTAAAGAGACCATCATGTCACGTAATAAAGCCGACGATTCAGGCTCCGCTAACATCAACCAGAACCAGCCTTCAGGCAAGTGATCATCTTCTTCAAAATTTTACTATTTCATGGGAAAACTCTAGTCTTGTTGAAAATGTTGTCACATTTTCCCTTTATTCCTTCAATGATTGAGCACAAATATATTGACAGATTGAGGGGTTTTAAAATTTGCTGTATCGTGTTCTTTTAACCATATTTTCAAATTTGTTAATTCTCAATTTATATTTTGTTATATCGTGTTTTGACGAAAGTACTCTACTCATTCTTGTTCAGATATGGAGCTGATGAAGGAAAAATTTGCCAAGTTGCTCCTTGGTGAGGATATGTCCGGCGGAGGAAAGGGTGTTTCATCAGCATTGGCATTGTCAAATGCAATCACAAACTTAGCAGGTATCTGAATCCTACCATGTTCTCAGCTACATATACCTTTATCTGATGAATATATGTATCAACAACAGCAACAACGACCCAGTTTATTCCCCAAGTGGGGTCTGGGGAGGGTGAGATGTATGCAGCCTAACCCTTACCCTAAACGGGTAGAGAGACTGTTTCCGATAGACCCTCAGCTAAAGAAAAAATGAATATATGTATCACCAGAAAAAAGAAAAAAAAAATTGAGATTTTTTTTTTCTGATGAATATATGTATTACCAGAAAAAAAAATCTCAACTTTGTCTGTTATTTTTCTACAGAAGTCATTTGAAGGTTTCATTGTATGCTTCGTTTTCATATCTTTTGTTTGTTTTACAAAATGCAGCTTCTGCATTTGGGGAACAGAAGAGATTAGAGCCCATGCAACCAGAGACAAAAGCCAAGTGGAGAAAAGAAATTGATTGGCTTTTATCTGTTACAGATCATATTGTTGAATTTGTTCCTTCTAAACAAAAATCAAAAGATGGAACAAACATGGAGGTATATACACCTCTCTCCCCTGAAATTCTTCTTCACATATGTCACCTATCTAAACAGCAAACTAACACGAGCCGAATGTGTACTTCTCAGATTATGGTGACAAAGCAGAGAACTGATCTTCAAATGAACATCCCAGCACTACGCAAACTAGACGCGATGCTTCTGGTAAGAGAAAAGTTCTTTTCTTTTCTTTGGTTTTCCTTTTTTGTGTTTGATGTCATTCTAAGTAGTGTAATTTGCGGGATCAATTATGCTTATGCTTGGTTTGAAAACAAACAGGATTGCTTAGATAGTTTTAGAGACCAAAGTGAAATCTCTTATACATCTAAGGATGATGAAGGAAAAAACAGCAGGAAAGATGACAAATGGTGGATACCCACCCCTAAAGTTCCCCCAAATGGCTTGTCCGATACTACGAGAAAATGGCTGCAATTTCAGAAAGATTCTGTGAACCAAGTTCATAAAGCAGCCATGGCCATAAATGCTCAAGTTCTAACAGAAATGGAGGTCCCTGAAAATTATATAGAATCCCTACCAAAGGTAAGATAAAAATCTAGAATTTCACTATAGCTAAATACAAGTTTTATTAGCTGGATTTAGTATTACTCTTTTTCTTGTGTTTTCAGAATGGGAGAGCAAGCCTTGGAGACTCGATATACAGGAGCATCACTGACGAATACTTTGATCCGGATTACTTCCTTTCAACTATGGACTTGTCTTCAGAACATAAAATTTTAGACCTCAAGAACAGGATTGAGGCTTCTGTAATTATATGGAGAAGAAAAATGAATGCTAAAGATGGGAAATCAGCCTGGGGTTCAGCCGTTAGTATGGAGAAGAGAGAATTATTTGAGGAGAGAGCAGAAACTATCTTGCTTATCCTTAAGCATCGGTTCCCTGGAATTCCTCAGTCATCACTAGACATAAGCAAAATCCAGTACAACAGAGTAAGAAGCAACCCCTGTTAATATTCTAAAGAGTCTAGACTATTTATTTAGCTTCTGTATGATATGCAATTACATTGTTTATATTACCATATATCCATCCACTTTTTCTTAGTTTTCAAGTTTGTTTCATCTTTTCTTCTTTGATGTCCTTGTGACTTCACAAAAGGATTCCACATATTATAGATAATCTAGTACTTGAACTTTAAAAATTTAACTTATAATCTATTTTTATCTAACAGGATGTGGGGCAAGCTATTTTAGAAAGCTATTCGAGAATAATTGAAAGCAGGGCATACACAGTCATGTCACGAATCGAAGATGTTCTCCAAGCAGATGCTGTGGCCCAAAATCCTTCCAATGGAGAGGTAAAGAGGTTTCCTGGAGATGATTCCTCAGGAGTCGCATCAGAAGCATTCCCGGATGGTAAGGAAGAAGTAGAGAAGCTTAATTCTGCAGAGACTCCTAATTCAATGACACTGCTGGATTTCATGGGTTGGGGAGCGGAACAAGGAGACGATGATGCTGAGAAAGAATTGAAGGAGGACCGAACCAAAGACACTGATGGAAAGCTCCTAAGCAAACCTCCAAATATAGTCACTAATAAGAGAGTATCTTACCTAGAGAATTTAGCTGGTTCCAGAAGTCCAACAGCACGCCACTAGCAGACTTCACTGCAGAATACTGATTGACTCATCAGAGGCAAGGATCGATGAACAGAGTTTCATCAGATTAAGAAAGCTCGGCGTCAAATGTACATATCGAGATGAAGCATACCAATCTAGGATTTCACTAAGTCATTCCTTTTGTAAATAGGGATACAGTTAGTAGACCTACTGGGTCTGTGGCAGTTCTTGAAATGATTTACTCAGTACAAGATGTCACCTTGTTGTTGAACAACAATGGGAATTACAGACCTTTTACCTTGAATAACCTCTGTTTTCAGATCTATTAGTAACATGATCTGTAGTTCACAATTTAAAGTCTATTTGGTTTGCACTTTACAGATTCATTAATTGGTTATTAGTTAATTCACCAGCAACTTATCTTAAATCCTTCTTTCACTTCACCAAAAGAAAGTATAAGGTGAGAATATATCAAAAATTTGATGAAATTCACAGACAAATTAAGGCAAGGAACTCTTTTAGTTATGTTACATAGAAGTTTCTGACCTATTATAGAAGTCAAAGTTGGTACTTTTAATAGTGTAATTTACAACACCAAATAGGAATGATCACCAACATGAACTAATAAAAGTTAACATCCCAATTATTTGAGAAGAATATCAGAAGCCACCAAGTAAGAAAGCAGTGCTACAAATTTACCATAAGATATAACTTGTGGGAAGTCTTCAATTATACTTACACAAACTGGGAACACATACATCAATTACAAATTGAAGGTTGAATTTTGGATAGAAAAGCAATTAGATCTTGCCACGTGGGCCGAGCTTGGGTGGAAGTTGTGGACCTTTCTTGATTGGTAGGATATCCCCTGATGCTGTCGAACTGAAGTAGGCAAGGGTGGAGCCACCTCCCAATATCAAGAATTTGAGCAAAAGACCTCTCTTGGTGAATGGAGCAGCAAATGTCTCAAAGAACTTGCTCTACATAACACAAAGCAGCAGGCGAGACAGTTATAACTCAGACATGTGCTGCAATACTGAACTCTTAAGTTATTCAATGATGAGCTCACACAGACAGAACTCTAGGTTATGTTGGCGACATACAAAGACTTACTAAGTAATGACTTTTAAAAAGCCCCATTGAACTTATGTAACTAAACAAGGCAGAAAATCAAGTACGACCAATGAATTCTAACGAGAAAAAAGTAATTCTGATAGCTTTTGAAATGTAAAAGGAAAAAAATCCTGATTAATACAGTGATAAATCTTAAATGATCATCCTTCTCGAAAAAATAAATCTGAAAAAAATCAAAAACCATGTATAATATCGGCAAATAAGGGCAAAAGCTCTAAGATGTACTGTTCCAGTGGCCATGGAAAATGTCCGATAGCGATAAGTATATTCTACCATTTTCACTCCAATTGCTTTTACAAGCAAAAGCATAAAGTTAGAATCTTTGATAGGTCATTGAAAAGTGAATTGAAGTAGCAAACACAGATATACATCAAACTAATACTAAATCAGATCAAAAGCACAGTGCTATAGAAGTTATTTATCAATGATGTGGACGAAAATAAAATACCTGAAGAGAGTTGTATGGTGAAGGTGCATCTGATCCATACAAGTCCCACTGGCCAGTGGTGTTGCCCAAATCCTCCAAATCAAAGTATACACTCTTGTCACCATATTTGGCAACCACAGGGCCAGCCCTACACAAACATGTATGTATTCACTTCATAATGACCAAAACAAGCCATGCTTATACGCATAAATACATCCAATCCAATGTCGTTTTTATCCCCTTCTTCAGTGACTATATGAACAGAGGAACTTATTCTTTTAAAAAGTTCCTTCTTTTATTAGATGAACTGAATCTTGTTGGGCTAAAACGCCCAAAGATACTCGTAACAAGGTGTGATATTGTCTGCTTTGGGCCAAGCCCGCACGTATTTTCTTGAAAGACCTCAGACCATTAAGAGTATCCAATACCCCAACAAATCCAACCAACATATGTATGTTCAGAGATGACACCAAGAATAGTTGAAAACATGATTAGTTATTTAAAACCATGCTCTCCTAAGTCCTAACGGCTTAAGCTTTTAGACAACGTGATCACACATTTCAACGTATTACCACAGCTGACAGAGATATTGAGTTTAAGTCACTATCAAATAGATGTTGCACTACGTTTTTTGGCTCGAGAAAGAGCGCCAGAATGCACGCGAGGAGACGTGTTGAAAATATAATTAAGTAAATCAGCAGTATGTTTCTCTAACAGTTCAAACTTTTAGATAAAGTGGTCACATATTTCGACAATAATTATCAGTTGGCAATCACAAAAAGGTAGAGGGGAATCCATTTACCTGGATTTAGTGGGCTTCAAATTGAGGCGAGATGATTTGAGATGAAGCTTAGTTCCAGTAATAGAGCTTCCAGCTAGACCCTTGACATTGGTAGTGGGCTGCACTGCAGCAAAGGCTGCCAAAGATGCCATGGCTTTTCACTCCAAACTAACAAAACTATTTTCAGAATTCAGAGTGTGGACTGGCAATTGATCGGAGTGTGGATACCTCTTGCTTTTTCATCTTTTTGCGTGGATCCAAGCAAGACATGTGGCGAACTTGGGTATCTTTTTAGAGATATAGAATCCCATTTGAGTGGCGACACGTGTCACTGGCTGGATAGGCTTATCCCTTCAAACTTGTGAATTTTTGTTAAATTTGAGCGAAGGTTTTTTTTTTTTTCCTTGATCAGATATTACAGAAAAAGTTACTTTACATAATTAATAGTAAAAAATAGATAATGCTTGCCTAGCTAAAAATTGTGTGTTTACGTAAATAATTTTTGGAAAATATTTTCTGTCTTATGTGAAAAGTATTTCCCTATAACATATTTTTGGTATTTGGGTAGTGAATGAAAATTAGTTTTAGGTCGATGAATCAAGCCATTTCAGGTGACCTCCCACCATCTTGTTCTCTGTGTGACTTGCGGGATGATCATTTGTAATTTTGTCTAATTTTGTACGAATGTACATCTGTTTTACATATATGCAACTAGTATATTTGATATTTTTAGATATTAAAAAGAATTAACTTATTCTTTCCAAAGTTACCTTTGGAGTAAAGAGTTTTGGAATAGTTTTTTATATTTTCAATGAGCAATGTACGCGGCAAAATCAGAGGACTTGATTTCTCGCTATCAAGTCATTTCGGACGAATACCTCGAGACCCCGCCACGACCGAGTCCCCTCCCCCAGGGCTCGTCAAGGCCCGACTCAAAGAAGATGGAAATCGAAGCCAGAACAGTAGGAGAAGCTCCCAAGGCACGCGGCTAAGTCTGACAAAGCCGGCCTATCCAGGGCCTAAGCCAAAGCGTCGCATCTAGCCGTCCCATCTCCGTACTTAATAATTAATGCATGTTGTACTATAGCCGAGTTCTCGTCCTATATAAAGGGAACTCACACTACCTTGTAAATGGCTGATGTTGCTCCAACTATTCTCTCTGTCTCTCTCTCTCTCTTCTTTCTAAACTCGCTCGTTCTCACTGGCCCGAGGCTACTTTAGCATTCATTGCTTTCTTACTTTTTCTTCATTATATTGCTTGGTATTGGCCATAAAGAGCCTTGTTTAATCATATCCTTAACTATTATCCCATCCCCGACTGCCCCGATAGCTCGAGATCGACCCGGACTCCCTAATCGGCCGATCCTACACCCGGGCACCAGGTTCCTCGGCTCATTCAACTCCTCGTTTTAGCGTGTATCCCCTTGGTAAAACAAACCCGGGCAGTAAGCCTTTAGGTTTGGTTATCGCCTCATTTTAACTTGCATTTCATCATTAAACTCCACATCCTTAACATCAACTGCTCTAAACAACTAGCTCGAGAATAGATCACGTATTTTTAGAATCCCATTTACAAATTTAATTGTTGTTACCATTTTCACGGTAAACAGTTTGGTGCCTACCGTGGGGCTAAAAATAAAAGTGATTATTTTCTTGCTAGTTCCATTGCACAAACGCACGTTATCTTTCACACTTTTTCTTGTCCAAAAATCTCTTGATCTCAGGTCAAAATGTCTGGCTCGGTAAATAGAGTCGAGAACAACTACCTCGAAAATCATGGCGGAAACGGTGTGGCTGTTCCAGTGGTTGGCGCGACGCCGCAGAACCCCGATAACGCATCTGGGCCGATTCCAGCGGACGCGGGTTCGCAAGGCGCGCAGCAGGTCGATGAAGCCTCGCACACCGATGGGAGCATACAACATATCGACCTACAAGAAGCCCAACAAACCCCGGCTCGGGAAACACAGGAAGTTAGTCTTCACGATATTTTAAAAATGTTGCAGGCACAACAGTTGGCTATCGCTTAGTTGCAAATCCATTCGAAGACTCCTAGCACAGTAGCGCTGGAAAAAACTCCCCGCGCCGAACGAGTACCCGAGAGATCAAGCAACAATGGATCGATAACAGACCGTGCCATAGCGAAGATGCTTGGGGATCTCTCCAAGGGGACCGAGTCAGGTTCGTGGAAGTTCATGCAACAATTGTCCCCCAAGGAAGCGGTCCCGGGACCCGTTTCACGGAAATCCAGAACGCCGGAACTCCCTAAGTACGACAGGACCTCGGATCCCGACGAGCGCACCACCGCTTACACATGCGCAGGAAAAGGCAGCGACCTTCAAAATGATGAGTTCGAGCCCGTCTTGTTGAAGAAGTTCGGGGAAACACTCTCAAAAGGAACCATGATGTGGCGCCGTAGACCAGCGCCTGACCTCACAAACTCGCTTACCGTGCCAGTAGATTCCTCCGCAGAGGCACACACCGATCCTATCGAAGCAGCAACGGGAGAGCTCGACATATCTGAGGCCGGGCAAAGAGAGAATGAAACACCACAGGAAGCCGCGCCTCATTCCCTGATAGAACGAACGAGATCGCCCCCAGTTTCGGATGACTAGGCAACACAGGCCTTCCTCTGAAGCCTAAACGAACCATGCCCGACGACTTCAGGGCATTTCAAATGAAGCTTGATCAGATACCCAGCCGAGATCTG